TCCTTATCCTTGCCCCCTAATCCTCTCCCCTATCCCCTGGGGGTGGGGGGAAAGCAGGTGAATGGCTGTGTTGGCTGCTAGCCAAGGGCTAGCTAAGTGAAACTATCACACGTGCATAGGATGTTCATGGGCAGATGGAGATCCAGGCCCCACCTGTGCACAGAGAGGGGTGGAGGGTACTGTCGGCTTCCCCTTATTACCACTGAGGGGGTGACTTGTTTCCTGGTCTTGCAGATACTGGAAGTTGCAGATGTGGTTAATGCTGAAAGACATGATAGAGTGTGTGGTTTGTGGTAAAGCTCCCCTTTGTCTTGCTTGCTTAAAACTTTGATCTGTTAGGACTGAAGTCGTTAAGGCTTGATAACTGCTCCAAAGGCTTTATTTTTGTCTTGTTTTGTTATTTTCCCCTTTCTGACACCCCATGTTACAAATCTCAGAACCCAAAAAGAAACAGAAAGATTCTTTGAGGTACTTGTTTGATAGAGAGATGGTCCAGGCTGCCTACGCAAAGGAGCTGACTTGAGGATTTTTTCAGAATTTGCATGTCAAATTTGTGTTGTGTGGTTTGTGGTTGTTTGTCCAACTACTGGCTCTGTGCATTCTTAACTTCAAGCTCTCAATTACTTGACGCTCTAAGCGACTTTTGCAGCACTCATGCTAGCCCCACTGATTTAAGCAAAATCAGTGTGGAATAGAGTGATTCTTAATGAACTGCTTCCAATTCTGCTGAATTGCTGACGATCTTAGATGCGAGCCATGGTGAGTGTAAACATAACAAGCAGAGATGCTTCATATTGGCTTTGCTATTCCCAGTCATTTTCTAAACCCCACGATCCTCTTGCTTTTTTTTCCATCAGTGTGTGCTCATTTAAATTAGTGTGATAGCACGTAGTTCAAAAGCCCTCTCCAAGAAGACAGTATATAATATTCTTACCAGAGAATAGGTTGCCTGTTCTTCCCAGTGTGTGATGAGATAGCTACCTGAAGATTTTGTGATCTGTGTTTTTCCTTACATTATAAACTACTCGGCCTCCACTATTCATCTTGTCACTTTCCTCTTTTTAATTTGCTTTTTCAGAATAAATTTTTCAAAGACAGAAAGCAGCCACCATCTCATTAACACAGTAGTGCTTTTGATGTGATTGTTTATCTGTTGTACCCTGAAGCTTTTTCCATCCTCTCGTCCTGCTTAAGATGTCAGTGCAGTTGTGATTGGGATATTTATATAGCTGTGTGTCTTGTTCTTGTTCTGCTTCTGATTCCAAAGGTTTGAGGGAAGTAAGAATGAAAACGTTTTCCCCCTTACACTGTTCTCCTTCCCTCCCCCAAAAATTCTGCATACCCGCTCAACCTTTCAATTGAGAGATCTCTGGTCAGAGAAAGCTGGAAACTTTTTCCAGCAAAAGGTGACCCATTGACTCACTCTTTGTGGGGGGCATTGAGAGTGAGAAGGCTGCAAACATGTCCTGGGCAAAGTGGTGGGACTGGGAGTCCATGGCACCCCTGGCTGTGCCTCTCAAGGTCACCAGGGCAGTAGCCACACCTCCTGGAGCCTTCCTTCAAAAGAGAACAGAAAAAAGTGCTGTTTCCTGCAGTTTCACAGCCTGTGATGCCTCCCTCACAGCATGAACACCTTTCCAAGGCTTTTTGCATAGCGTGATTCTTGCAGTGGAGAATAAGTCACACCTGCGTGCAGCTTGCAGCGCCAGCAACGGAGTGAAGGAATAAATGTTTGGAGCGTTTTAGAAAGCTTCTTTCTCTTGGTGGGCTGAAGGTCCATCTAGCTTTGCCCTGATGGCTGCTGGTCAGTATCTGGCAGATGCAAGAGCACTCCTCAGGAGTCAGAGGTACTCTGAGGTACCCTGATGGTTAGTCTGAAGGTGCACGGATAGAGGGCTTATTTCAGGAGAGGTAGCTGATTCCCTGTTACCCCGATAGCGAGTACATCCTTGGCAGTGGCGTCTTTGACTTGCCTTGAACAACTCCCACAGAGCGGTGGTCTTGTCAGAAGAACCAGGTCCCTGGGCTTTCTGTATGCATGTATGCATACAGAGACGTATGCACACTCTAAGGCTAATGACCATGACTGGCTTTTGATGACTCATCCAGAAGTGGAAAGTGGGTTGTGCTTTGCAGAGATATGCCCTACAGTAGAGGGCTTATTTCAGGAGAGGTAGCTGATTCCCTGTTACCCCGATAGCGAGTACATCCTTGGCAGTGGCGTCTTTGACTTGCCTTGAACAACTCCCACAGAGCGGTGGTCTTGTCAGAAGAACCAGGTCCCTGGGCTTTCTGTATGCATGTATGCATACAGAGACGTATGCACACTCTAAGGCTAATGACCATGACTGGCTTTTGATGACTCATCCAGAAGTGGAAAGTGGGTTGTGCTTTGCAGAGATATGCCCTACAGGGAAGGAGATTGGGTTTCTCAGCCTGACTGTGTGCCAAATGTGGCTGACTTCATGTGGCTCTGGGCTTTGATATTTAACATGGAATATGGCTATTGTCCCGTAGGGCAGCTGTGTGGGGTCTGCTAATAGTGAAGGCTCAACTCACTGAGCTTGGGCTGGACCTCTGGTGTCGGAGTACAAAGCAGGTCATTCCCTGTGCTCTCTGTAGCTGGTGGAGAGATGCAGACACTTGCAGAGGTGTGGTGGTTTCACTGGGCTGGCCCTTAGCTAGCAGCGAACACAGCTGTTCGCTCACTGCTCCCCACCCCCAGGGACAGGGGAGAGAACTGGGAGGCAAGGGTAAGGAGACTCATAGGTTGAGTTAAAAACAATTTAATAATAGAAATAAAAAAACCTTAAAATAATGCTGATATTAAAATAGTAATGATAATAATAATAGTAATAAAATATGCAGATGAGTAATACACAGTACCAATTGCTCCCCACCTGCTGGCCAAGCCCAGCCCATTCCCTCTTCGGAGTGTGACAATCTGGAACCAAAACCACAATCCCAGAAGAGCGAGAGCCCAAGTGAAAGTCAGCAAGAGCCAAAAAAGGAAGAGACTGTCACTAATATACTGGACATGACTTGATACGATATGGAATATACCATTGGCATATCCAAATGCCAGTTTAGCTTATTAATGTAAATATTCCTCACCCCCTTAGATCTTGCACTTGTAGACTAACAAAACACAAGGTCCTTCACTTCCAGTGACAAAAATGAAAACCCTGGTGTGTTATCAGTGTCTCTCTCATAACAAATCGCAGGCTGAAACCAAAACACAGCATTGTTCTAGCTACTAGAAAGAAACCCAGCTCTGTCCCAGCTGAAAACCAGGACAAGAGGGTATTTCATTCTGTCTTAAGATGGGTGCCTGAACTAGACATGTTGAGAATTTTCATCCCTGTCTTTCGATATGGACTGAAAGAGCCTTCCCAGCTTTGACTAGAAGATGACTAAAATGAGAAGGGTGCTGAGTCCTTCAGAATTAGTCCTGCATGGGGCTTATGGTGGGCTAGGGTACTTATGGGCCAGCACTCTAATTCCTAGGCCGCATTAGGGCATCCATTACTGACTCCTCTGAGAGCTGAAAGACTGCCTGGGAGATGTATGCACACTCTAAGGCTAATGACCATGACTGGCTTTTGATGACTTATCCAGAAGTGGAAAGTGGGGTGTGCTTTGCAGAGATATGTCCTACAGGGAAGGAGATTGGGTTTCTCAGCCTGACTCTATGCCAAAAAGGAAGAGAGGCTGTGAGGATGGCAGGTTCATGTTCAGAGGTAAAGGGAAGGGTAGCCTGCTGTGTGCAGGAAGGGAGGGCTAGAGTAGGAGTAGGCGTGGGCGGGTGTCTGCCTGGCTTGAAATGCTGAGAAGACCAATGACTCTGAAGGAGTCATGTCAGACGAGGAGAGCCTCTGGCCAGAACAGGCAAGTGATGAGGAATTTGAGTGGTCTGAGGAACTGGCTATGTGATCTGCAGCCACCCGCTTCCTGAGAGGTAGGGCACAGAGGAAGATGCCATCCAGAGACCTGCTGCTAGAGCTGGGACGAGACTTGGTGCAGATGTGCTTGGCTGATCAGTATGTGGGAACCAGCAGTTCCAGTCCATGGGCAATGTTCTTGCATCTGGCCAGACAAAGCTGTAACTGTGGTGGAAGACAGCAAATCAGACTGTACTTGGTGGAAACAGTGAACTCTGAGCACCTTGCTGTTACTTGATGCCTTAATCCATTTACATGGCTGTACGCTGAGTGTGCTAATCAGCTCACAGCAGATGAGCTGATAAAAAAGGGGGTTTTATAATCCAGAGTTGTTAAAAAGTGTATTTTTGTCTATTTATTTCTTTAATATGGATTTTATCCAGTTAAAAGACAAGCTGGCCTTTATGAATCTCTTTTAAGAGGCTACATGCCGGTTTTGGCTGCTGTGAATTTTGAGTCAGAGCTACAGATATTCCTCCACAAATAAATAATACATTTTTATTTCCAGTTGCATCTAATCGAGGTTACAGAAAACTTACCTGTCGCCCAGCAAAACGTGTCTGTAACAATCATCTCATAAGAGCAACTCGGCAACAGCAGCTGCCAGATCACTGTCCTCTAGGGTCTGATTCTCTCTTTTAGAATCATAGATGGTAAAGACAATCTGCAAGAAGAAAATCTACTGTTCACTCAGTTATATTACATTAGTATGTCTAGGAAACATTGTATTGAGGCAATTAGCAGTGCTCCCGCTTTATCCACATTGCAGGAAAATTAGAAGAAGCTTTGCTCTGCTTTTACCACTATGTTTTTATTTCATCCAGTGGTTTTATGGCAGCCCACCAAAAGCTGGCATTGTCTCCTAGTTGTATCAGAAAGAAATGTTTTGCAATCCACTGTAAAGAAAGGGGGGTTTGTTGCTGACTTTTAAAATATTCAGTAAGCTACTCGTATTTAGCCTAAAAAAATTATGTGGAAAATAAAAGCAAATCTTTAAAACCTGTATTAAAAGTGTGTGGTGGTTTCACTTGGCTAGCAGCCAAACACAGCTGCTTGCTCACTCCCCGCCCAGGGAATAGGGGAGAGAAGTGGAGGAGCAAGGTTAAGGAGACTTGTAGGTTGAGATAAGAACAATTAAATAATTGAAATAAAATAAAACTTAAAATAATAATTATATTGAAATAATAATAATACTACAATATGCAAATGAGCGATAGGCAGTGCAATTGCTACCATCCACTGACCAAGCCCAGGCTGCTCTCAGATAACAGTCTCAGAGGAGCAACAATCCTGAAAACCAAAACTGCAGTCCTGGAAGAGTGAGAGCCTGTGTGAAAGCCAGAAAGAGAGCCCCCAACAGGAGAGAGAGCCCCTCATTAATATGCTGAAAATGACATTATATGATATGGAATATCCCATTGGCATATGCAAATGCCAATCTAGCTTCCTAATTTTAATATTCCTTGCCCTCCCTAGACCTTGCAGACTAGCAAAACACGAAGTCCTTTGACTTCTGGTGACAATTAAAAACATCAGTATGTCATCAGCATTGCTCTCATAACAAATCGCAGGCTGAAACCAAAACACAGCACTCTTCTAGCTACTAGAAAGAAACCCAGCTCTGTCCCAGACAAAAACCAGGACAAAGTGTAATATTGAACTTTAAACAAATTATGGTCATTGAAAGATCAGTCATGACTTTTGAATCTCCTTGCTTTGTCAGGGAAGGAAAACACAACAAACAAATGTTTTGCATACTGACCACAGCTACTGGCTGTTGGAAAAGAGTTTTTGCCTGGAAAGGTTTGGGACTTTTTTTGGTTGGTTGTTTTTTGCATATTTTTTGGGTTTTTTTTTTTCAGTATTGTGAAGCAATCTGGGGAGACCTGGAGGTCTTCCACTACGCAAGGCAGGAGATAGCCACTGTAGTAGTGCAGCAAGTAAAGTATCAGTTACATTCAGCTGGTTACAGCCCTATGGAGGACTGGTGGAGTTTCTACATTGTTGTCTTTCTTCCCTCTCGTTCCAGTTTCTCACATTTTCACCAGCCCTAGTGCTTCTCAGCTGGTAGATGAAGGCTTGTGTTTAGCAGAATTTGAAAAGAAAATTGATGTTCCAGACTCCTATTATGGACCACGACTCTCATTCCCCCTTACTGTTAAAGATGCCAGTGCTCTTCTTCATGCTTTCAGGAATGAACAGGTAAGTTGCAATTAGTTTGTTTCTCTTTATTTATTTTGCATCTCTGTCAAGTTGTAGCTCCACAATCTGTTGAATCCAATGTAAGGCTAAACTGATGCCCAAGGAGATATTTGTCCCTTCCTTTCCAACCCATTATCCTTTCCTGCTGCCCCATGTGACCATGCAGGTACAGGGTGCGCTGTCTTGGGAAACCAATCTGGCTGGAAGCTGACATGAGGAAATCAAAAGCAGTCAGCTCTCAGCCAGACCAGTTCCCAGATACGATTCACTACTTGGCTGCCTGACCTCCCGAGCCAGCACTGGGGAGGGGGCAGGGGCTAGTGGGGATCTCCTCTTCTGGTATTGCGATTACAGTGATCATGGAATGGGAACCCTGTGCAGCTGCAGGGCAGGGGATATCAGTGAGGATGCAGGACTGGGTAAGGTTTTCCAAGCTAACCTAGAAACTAGTTATCTTTTCCTGGGTTTTCCTTGCCCCCCATTATTTTTAGAGGAATTGAGGTGCAAGGGTTAATCACCTTCTTCCAGTGAGCATGACTCCACCATCATGGAAGAGTGAATATAAAGCATCGCTAATGTAGCGGAACAGGGCGATGGCACAAATCTCTGGAGCTTGCTGCCTGCGGCTGCCACAGCACTGAGCAGGCTGGTGCTGATTCTCTGAGCAAGCCCATTTGCTGCCCAGGTACAAGATGAGGGTGGGGCAGGGAGGCATTACACGGCACAGCTTTGTTTGAACTTGCGTTCATTTGTGCTTAACAATATACTGTATATAATAGATAAGGGTCTGTCTTGCTTTATAATTTACTAAATAATGGTAGGGGTTTTTTCCCCTCTAATTTTCTGTGGATGCTGATCTTAAAAGTAGCAAAATATAAAGCACATGATAAATGAGCCCACTCAGACTTCACCTTACTGCCAGCTCTCTCTTATCTTACTATGGTTGGCATTTTGTTAAGGAAATGATTATATGGAATTAGCCTTTTTTGTTTGCTTAAAAAAAAAAGCATCTGAAAAAGCCAGTCTGCAGCTCATCTATCTCCTCTACCAAATTTCCTTAGAACTGTGTTTGAATTAAAAGCCTTAAAAATCACCAACTGACAAAATTATAATAAAAAGCATTAGCAGAGAAAACCAGAAGCTTCAATGTTGCGTTGTCATAAATTCTTCACAGTGAACAGGAAGATGGCTCTTAACAAGGCAACCCTTGCTGGAGTTTCCCTCTCATTATTTTTGCAATTTGCTGAAATACCATTTATGGCCTTCAGGGATTTTTTTGGCTGGTTTGGCTTTTGTTTATACTCACAGCTAGAACTGCATCTTTTTCTTTTTCTTTCCCCCCCCAGTTACTTTGAACAGATGACCTCACGCAAGGATTCTGAGTGCTTTATTACTTAATCTCTTATCCTTTCTGTAGATGGGAAGAGTAAAAACAGTACACTAGAAATAAAATGGGAGAACATGTAAAGCATGTTTGTTAAGGGCTCTATATCCATTCACCAGGAAACAAGTGCAAAGCTATGAACACTCCTAATTCCCAGCACTGTAATCATGTTTGGAGCCTGTAATCACGTTTGGAGGTCTGTAGTACAAATAACCTCAGCAACACGTATCTGATATTAATAAAGCAGACAGACATATTGCTACTTCTAAGTGGTCTCCCTTTTCTCTCCGCATATCTTCCTCACAGCTGCTTCATGCCCGCTACGTACTGCAGCTACTATGTGAAACCAGGAGGGTTCTCAAGGAGATGCCAAATATCACCCATCTTTCAACTTCCTACTCCAAGGAGATAACTGTCTGTGGTAAGGTGGCCAAGAAGATAACCGCTTTGGTTATCTATGGGATGATATTCTAAGTGGTTGGAGAATGATACAGACATTTCCAAATGATGCCATTGCAAGAAAGTTCTCGATGCTTTTTTTTTTTTTCCCCTCCAAAAATACATAAATTGGAACATACAAAAAAAATCAGGTTCCTGAGTCACACTAAGTATATTTTAAGAAAGTCCCTCACCTCCTCTTTCCTTTTTTCATTAAACATTTCTGAATGAGTCAGTATTAATTCAGCTAACCCTGCAGCGTTGCTTAAATATTCCTGCATTTCCATCTCTAAAATGCCACCAAGTATTTTGATCACTGTGTGCAAGTCTCACTGCTTTCTCCTCTTACTGAGAAAAAGACTTTACCATGATAATTTACTCAGTAATGATTTTGATGAGGGCTTAATAGGGATGGCAAACAAGACCTTCCATTGACAGCATGACTATCTAGAATAAATTGCAATTATAATAAACTGTAATTTCTAAAGGGACCCAAGAGGATGGATCAGTCTTTATACAACCAACAAATTAGTCTCACAGAATGATGTGATGTGTCACAAGGTAAAGAACTAAGAGCTCGTTCCCCTTCTATTTTGTTACGCTTTTGTAAATTATGGATAAAGGGATGCAGTGTCCCGACTTGCCACAGAGCTCAGTAACTGCAAAACAGAACAGTAACGGTGCCATTAACTCTGGACAGCTGGCAGTGTGTGCTGTGTGTAATAGTAAAGTGGTATAAGGAAGGGTACTATGGCACATGCAAAACAAATGGTGTTTTTTAAAGTGTGGTTATGCACCTACTTTGATTGCCAGGAAAGGGTTTGTTTAAATGAGGTTTTGTGTAACCAATAATTTGTTAACCAAACCAACAAATCCTCTCTCCAAACCAAGGAAACATGGATTCATACTTGTTCGCTACACAGCATGTTCTTACTAAGCAAAACATACCTCCTCATGTTTGTATTGCATTTGCACTATGTGAGCAGCATCTGAAGGGGCCCCATTCTTGCCATTGAAACTAATAGCTTTTGTAACCAGAAGGATCCTCTGCAGAAGGTGAAAGATTAGTCCAAAATGTTGATTTCCTTAAAATAAGGTATCCCTTTCCCCATTGTATTTTAATTTGGAATTAAAAATTCAGGTTAAATACACACCTGAAATGTATGCATCCACATATGTAATGAAAATCTATCATAGCTTGAAGGACTCCTTAGAATGATTTCAGCAGGCTTGTAGTTAATAAAAAGTGGCATAGAAAAAATGTAGACGGGATAAAAATGTCACTTCTGTCCTTTCCTGCTCATTGGTGGTGAAAGCATATTATCACAAGATAGCTTTTGAAACTGTTCCATGGCTTTGTGATGGTGAGTCAGAGACGTGAGAAGGTTGCTTCTGTGTGCACGAAATTCAGTCATATGCAGAGGGGAGCTGTGCTGCAGTGATTCTTTGTGTTGGGGTGAAATCCCCCTGCCTGTTCCAAAATAAACCTCTCGGAAAGGGCCAAATCTGTCATTCCTGTGGCCTTAGCACTGAGGCACACAAGCATGGACAGTTCTTGACGCTCTCCATCAAATCCTGCCTGCAGTAATCAAAACCTGGTCCTGAGTCATACAGATGTTCAATTGTGCTGTATATAGTGGGCACTTAGTAAATTTAAACCTGTTGGTATGTGGAAGTCTATCATATTTCTAGATGTCTTTTAGTGGCATTTTCTGTTTTCAGGTTCATAATATGTTTCTTACTGCCCTTTCCCTGAGTGAACCTTTGGCTGTGTGACTGGTCTGATCTTCAGATCCAGCTGGAAAGACAAAAACTTTATGCAAGACAATTGTATGCTCTTAAGTATTTAATTGCCAGATTTTACAAGCAGCTTCAGCATGTACCTTAAAATGAAGCTAATCCTAATACAAGGGAAATTACTAGGGAAAAACTTGTTAGGGCTAGACTGATTCCCAGTTTTATGATTCCGGTTTTTTCCTTCTCTGTGAGAAAACTAAAAAAAAAAAAAAAAAAAAAGAGAGAGAAAAATAATGGTTTTGTTTCCTGTAGGAGATTTGCATGGAAACCTGGATGATCTTTTGCTGATATTCTATAAGGTAAGTAGGCAGTCTGTGATGTAGTGTTTCCACTTCATTACCTGATGTTAAGAACATGTATTTATGTCTGATAGATTTATCACTGTTAGAACTGTACATGCGGTGTGCATGTGCCACATGCACAAATCCTGGAACAATTTGACTGGTGTCTTCGTTGTAGCTTTTCCTTCTCCATACCCTCGTGCTCAGTGTGAAGGGAGAGATCCAGGAGATCTTTCTCTTTCTAAATGTTGAACTGAAGCATGAACCAAAACTTAAGAGGGTTCCTTGCAATGTGGCCGAAGTCGTGATACTGTTTTATATTCCATAATGACTAAAGTCTTCTAAAATGAGGAGCTAACTTAGTTACTGATGTAATGCTACACCATGGATAATTTTGGCCCTCCAAAATTAATGCAGAAGCTTTCCAGAAAAAATGCAGAAGCTTTCATTTAGGCCTTCTATTGGTACCTGCAAAGTGGTTTTTATTATTATTTGTTTACAGGAAACAAAAGTAGTGCTGTCTGTCTAAAAGCTTTTTAAGTCTTGGAAGCAATCACATAGTCTGCACAAAATGGAAGTACCTTGTGCACCCTTTACAAATCCTTGAGCAGCTGGTCATTTTTTAATGCTAAAAAAGCATAGCTCTGTTTTACTCATGTGAAAAAAAATAAGCTTCAGGCTGTCTTTTCTACAATTGTATCTTTAACTGAAGATGCAAGAAATTTCCTATATTTAGTTTCACATTTATCTTTATCATGAATCACCACCTTTCATTTAGCACTCCCTTTGATTTGAGCTTTCCGGGGGAAAGGGTTTGTGTCTGAACCTTGTACATTCATCTGCACTGAATGGAGACTGAGGTGAGCTAAACCACGTGTTTAAATGATGTCGTTCCCCCTGCTTCCAGCTTTGTCACGCTTTATCTGACACTTGTTGAATAGAAATTGGGTTGTTTTGCACAAGTGCATGCCTGAAGCCTGTTGAAGTATCATCAGACCTTTTTACAGAGTTCTGCTTTTCTGATTAATCAATCAATTACATTTAGCTGGTTCTTGGCTTGCAGTCTGTTAGCTGTTACAATTAGACAATCTTCCTTTTTGCAACTGGAGTAAGAGTATGATATAGATTGGTTTCATACATGGGACCTGGCATGAAAAAAAGAGCTATTTTGAAGATAAATACTCAGATATAGTTATATTTACAGCTGCAATCAGCCTGAATTTTACTCTTTTGGACCAAACAGAAAATTATTCTTTTTCCCCTCTCTAATGGATGTTACAAAGAGAAAAAAATTCTAAGCAAGGACTAAATCCTGACTTCAGGAAGTTCAGAGCCAGAACTTCCACCAAATAAAATCAGCAAATATTTTGTCATTTCAAAGTGGTTGAGAAAATAGAGATCACATGATAGAGCTGTTCAGTTATTTAAAAGCAAATTAAATGATACAGTATTTTCTGTCCCCTCTGAGCAGTTTACTCAGCTGAGCAGTGAACCCAGTTAGCCTCTGGGATCCATTTTTCCTGCTTCCCTAACTCTGTTTCAGTTGGAAGGGATTTCTTCCTCTGAGTTGGTGTGAACCATCATAACCTTAAACAAGAGGATGCAATTGTAAACAGTGCCATGAGGAATGTAGTGATCTCGGGTCTGCACAGGGCTGTGCAGAGCTGAAAGGGCTGCTGAAGCATTTTGGGGGCTTGCATGCAGTCAGAGTAGAGTGCCTTGAGCGTGGGGTTTTGTCCAGGGAACTTTTATCGCAGCCGTTTTACACACTGCCAACAGCAAGCACACAGAAGCAATCTACAGCTTATCAATACAGTGCTGGTTGTAACAGTGTGTGTAATTCTTAACCCTGGTTTGGGTGAGGCCAGGATAATTACTTCTTTCTCAAGAGCCAGTTTGTAAGGTTCATTCAGTCCCTGCATTACTCTCCATTAAATTACAGCATTTCCTGAAATTTCTTGAAACCCTTGGATTTTAAATTATGTATTGCTAAGTTAGATTGTTAAATGGGTGGTATGGATAGAAATAGCCTGAAGGTGTAGAAAATGCAAATGACAAACGGAAGTTAATTAATCATTAACCCAGCAGATACAGTAATGATGCCCACTAGCAAGTTGCTAATGATTAGAGGGCCTTGTTCACCTCTTTGACATGCCAGAGGCTTCAACAGCCTTTAATTTAGTTTTGCTCTTATTGTTGGTTGAAACCACAGAAAAGGAAATAAAAACTTTGCATGAATGTGGAACAAAACTAAAATGCCACATTGAAGTTGGAAATCCAAAACAAACTCTCAATTTAAAACTAGAAGTTGTGAGTAAGCTTTTCCAAAAGAAGAATGATAGAGTCTAGAGAGCGCTTCAGCAGATCTGTCTTTTCATGAGGACTGCAGTTCCAGAGTGGCTGTATGTATACTGACAATCTGATGGTGACTCACATCCCTGCCTCGCTGTTTTAAGGCAAATCTTTTATTAATTCATCTTTCCAGGAGCTGCTGCTGAGACTCTCCTGTCTGTTCCACTCCTGAAATCTGTCCTTTTATTTTTTAAAGTCACTACAACCCACTGCATTAGCAGAGCCTCATAAATTGCCGCTCTTGTGAGCACAAAGCAAGCGAAACCCAAGCAAGCTGTATTTACAGCAATCAGGATTGTGCCGCTGTGGGAATGGAGAGACCAGGATTCACTGCTGCATCCTGACGTAACAGCGCGGAGCACGGATTGGGACAAAAAAGAGATTTCCTAATGGATTCAAATTAAACGTTTAATGGAGTCTCTGTCCAGATCCTGCATCCTGCAATAAAACTGCTAAGGCAGTACACCAGGGAATGCCATAGGAGCACAGGAAGTGCTGGACACTGATGCAGTAGCTATATTCAGGAGGTGGGATGTCTTGCAGTGCTGCCAAACCTGTTAAAGAGTGGCTTCCACAGTTGTAATGTGATGTTTATAGATGTTCTATTGATAATTCTTGTGCACCCAGTTGTGAAAACAGAGGTTTCCTTTTTCTGGCAAGTCAAAATTGAAATAATATTTCAGATACTCTTGATTGGAAATGGTGAAGCTACACATAATTGCTGCTATACTTTCTGTGAGCTGAGGCACCCATTGACATGTTGATAACTAATCTAATGAAATGCACCATCAATTCACAATACTAGCTTTTGATAAGTCACCATTCATAATAAAGCATTGTTCTATATCTTCAGAATAAATAAGGTAAGAAATACCTGTATGTACAGCCTCTCACGTTTGTGAGCGTTCAAGTCTTATCTTTGACCTGAGCAGAGGCAAAGTGCAATGTGAGTAAAATTCAAGTAGTGCTTTCAGGGTTAAAGCAACTGGAATCAAGGCTCTTCAGAGTTCTGTGTTAAGATTTGATGTCCTCTGCACTAGAGTCTTTCTCAGGAGCTTTAGAAGCATACACTGCAAACAATGTAAATATATGAAACCCAGTTTCTTACTATGTAAGGAAACATAAGAACCTTCCGACTTGTGTCAGAAGATAATTTTTCATGGATTTCTTATCTCCCATTCAGAATGAATCACTCCTTTCTGTTTGCAAGCGCGTAACTTCCAGGCAGCAGTTGCATTAACAAAAAATTCTATTCTATTAGAAGAATAATGTTCCTCTTGGTCCCAATCAATTTACTTTAATAGGTAGAGGAAATGATTAGAGATGGCACCATAAGAACAGTCAGAGAGATCATCTCTTCTCTGATGGCTCATACAGGTTGTGTGATATGGAGATTTTTGTTCGAAGCAGTGGAAATAAAGAAATGCTGCATTTTTGGTCTCCATATTGTGAAGGTTTTTTGCAGATTTGTTAGCAATGTGATACCATTTGAAATGCTGTTTCCTTTATTGCAGTAGCATAGAATTGTCTCTAAATGTCCTTGTTTTTGTTTCCTTCTGCAGAATGGTCTGCCTTCAGAACAGAACCGTTATGTCTTTAATGGTGATTTTGTTGACAGAGGGAAAAATTCAATGGAAATACTTATAATCCTGTTTGCATTTCTTCTTATCTACCCCAATGATTTACACTTGAATAGAGGAAACCATGAAGACTACATCATGAACCTGAGGTAGATTTTAGGGGTCCGGAGGGAGGGAGTATCTGTCCTTTCACTAGAAAAGCTGGAGCTTTTGTGTGCTACTTTAGCCACAGTGACTCTCTAAAACAGAAGTAATGTTTTATTAGGTATTCAGGTCTATTCAAGATGTGTGAGAGGGGCAAAGAACATCCTCATTACCCACAGACAATTGAACGAGAGTCATGTCTTGTCTCTGACCTAATCACAATCCACTGAAGTCAGTGGACTTAGTGCAGCTTCCAGAGTACCACATCTGGGGAAAAGGGATAGGTGGAAGGATGATATCTTATTTAAAGCGTTGTCTTTTTCCACAGCATAGCAAAAGACATAATGCAACATAATGGAACCAGTAAACAAGGAGCTGGTATTTCACTTAACTCTAGACTAACATGTCACTTCTGAAACACAAGGGGTGGGTAAATATCCAAGCTTCTACCCCGTGGAGGTCCATTGGTTGAGAGGTGGCAGTCTGCCCCATTGCAGGAACAGCTGAGATGCTGTTTTCTAATACAGACGGTTTAACTCAATTCTTGAGACAGAGCAGAAGAAAGCACAAAGCACATTATTAAATAGAGGTGAGACATAATGGCAGGAGAAAAAGAGGGATAGAAAACTCCTGGCAAATAGTGTAGGAAATGATGCAGAAGAGCATACTGAAAACCAGTTCATGATGTTGTCCTATTTTCAGATATGGCTTCACAAAAGAAGTTTCAAGGAAGTACAAGGTAAGATTCCTCCTCCTTCCCCTAGATTTTCTTTGTAGTCTGGCACATGTAAAATTAAACCTGTGTAAGCAAGGAAACTTCCAACCAGTTTATTTAGATGTAGTACAGAAGGACTTTAGCAATGTAGTTGAAATTATTTTGGATTATTATTGTGGAGTAACTGACAAAACAATTTTAAATGTTATCCTTTTATGCTCGGAGATCTATGGGATGAAATAAATAACATCCATAAGGCAGCTCAAGAACACAAGAAGAGGTGCACATGAAAGGAAAACAAAATCAGAGAATCACAGAATGGTAGGGGTGGGAAGGGACCTCTGGAGATCATCTAGTCCAACCCCCGTGCCAAGGCAGGTTCACCTAGAGCAAGGTGCACAGGAAGGCATCCAGGTGGGTTTTGAACATCTCCAGAGAAGGAGACCCCACAACCTCTCTGGGCAGCCTGTTCCAGTGCTCTGTCACCCTCACAGTAAAGAAGTTTTTCCTCATCTTCAGATGGAACTTCCTGTGTTCCAGTTTGTGGCTGTTGCCCCTTGTCCTGTCGCTGGAAACCACTGAAAAAAGCCCAGCCCCATCCTCTTGACACCTGCCCTTTGGGTATTTATAGGCATTGATAAGGTGCCCTCTCAGTCTTCTCTTCTCCAGGCTATATGCTACGGAGACAATCAAATGGCCCTACAGTAAATGTCGGAACATGTTTGTCAGTGTTGCAGTTCAAGGTGTCACCTGGACAGAAGTGTTCATACAGACTGTGGCAGAAACTTCAGCAAAATCTTTAACTTAGAAGCAACAGAATCTGACAGAAATAGGACCTAATGTAAGAGTATCTTTTACAGGACCATGGGGAACAGATTTTGTGTCTTCTGAGAGATGTCTTTAGCTGGCTTCCCCTCGCCACTATAATTGATAGCAAAGTTCTTATCCTACATGGAGGGATTTCAGACACCACGGATTTGGATTTCCTGAATGCACTCGAGAGAAATAAGGTAAGAGATCATATTCATGTAGGAGTAATTTTGTTCTCTTAAAAGAGAGATGCTAAGGTCAAGTTGTTTGCATTAGGAAAGAAAATGGCTGCTGTATAAGGCACGTAAGGAGAAAAAGAGTCTTGTTTTTCTTTAAAATCAGTGTTTGCGAAGGAAGGTTTCAGTAGGTGTTGGGAGCCAATTGTTTGGCTGGTGTAAAATAACATGGGTCTTTTGATGTTAAAATAGCTAAAAACACTTTAGATTCTGCCTTCCTGCAGGGATGACGCATTAGCCAGAAAGTATGAAAAGTGCTTAATTCTCAGGCATTTCTAAACACTTTAGAAATCAATCTAGCCACAGCTTTTCAGCTCTGCCTTTTGTCCTGGGGCTGGGCTTCTGCCATCTCCTGTGTGGGGGAAGCTCACCACCTGCGAGGTGCTCCCTTGGCAGCAGCTGAGCTTTGCACATGTGGGAGAGCCTTTCCAGCAGGATCAAAGTTCAAGACTTGGTCTTGAGAAAACAGGAACTGCTGCTTTTCAGGGATCTAGCAGACAGAAACTTCAATTTTTTTCTGAAATGGTGAGCAAACACAGCTCTTTCAAATCAGTGGAAAATGGTGTCAGATTTGGACAACTGAATTGAGATGTCTGCTTGTGAGCAGGGTGCTTAGGTTCCTAAGATGGAGATGCAGGAGATCTGATGGAAATCCAGATCTTAAAATTGCTCAGACATAGGTCTCTGGTGCTATTCATGGAAGCACCCTGTAGCCGAGGGATGTGCCCTCTGGCCTCTGCCTGCCACTGGAGAAAAGTCTTGTTCACAGGTCTCCTCCACCTTTAGATCTGGCCCGTATCTGCCCACGTCACACTAATTCACAGACATCCCAGATGGTCCAGGATATCTATGTTTAAACAACCTGGTGTAGCTTGTAGTTGGTGCCTGGAACCTAGAGCCATTTCTCTCATCCTCATGTTTTTCAATACAGAAATAAACGCTTTAGAGAACAGTCAGGTGTCTCTCTGTTTAATCTTAAAGATGTGGAAAAGGGCAATGAATACTTCTGGTCACTGGAGTCTGGGCTCTGTTGGCTGTACTACTGAACACTGAAATTGGGTGCCTAACTACAGATGTAGGTCTCTCAACTGTGAGCTGAGTTCTGCCCACGCTTTCACCAAGGCTGGGCTCAGAGTGTTACTGATGTAGTATCTGTGAAATGCAGAATGAACAGGTCAAAGTTGCTGCCAGAGGAGAGCGTTGCTAATGAGACGTGTGGCCCACAACTCAGAGTGATATCACTCAAGGCCAACCAATGTATTTAATTGGTACAGCTGGCAACTAACGGGTCTCAAATACTGGTCAGTGCACTGGGAAATAACCCAGTGCTTTGCATTTTGTTTTGCATCAGTCTGTCTCTTTGTTACAGAGTAGAATTGTGGGGGGATGTTGTTGGGAGAGTTTTGGTTCAAAAAATCAGCTAGTGTGAGAAAATTTTAAATGAGGAGAAAAGCCACTCCCTGGAGAAGGATCTGTATTAATGGGCATTCATGGAGCCATAGCACACAGCTCCAAATAGAGCCATGGCCATGCATATGGGAGGAGTTGGATTTAACAATGAAAGGGCCTGATGTGATACCTCATCAATCGCACTGTTGTTATCCTCATGCTGTTCCGTTGATTTCAGTGAAGGTAACCGAGCAGCAGCCTACAGTGTCCGAGCAGTAGTGAGTGCAGCTTCATCTTCAGTACAGTACAGTACACGTACTTTCAGTTTCCAGTGAAGGTGGGCACTGAAGTGTCTGCCTTAAGGCCTGACCCCACTTCCTGTATAGTGAGATCTTGTGGTTAACTGTGGCTTGGAATGAGTCTGTGTGTCTTGATAAGAATATGAGAGCAGCTCTGAAGACACTGGCTGCTAATAGAAAGGAAAATTTCCATACGTGCCAAACACCTGCAGCTTCCACCAAACCTGTGAGTTCAGGACTTTATGAGAATTCAATATTGAGTACAGGAAATGAGAACTGATGTGCCTTTCAGCTGACATCTCTGTACCATCTTTATGTTCTGCTAACTCTTTCAATTTATTTCTTTTTAATAAGTTGAAATCTTTGATGCGGCCACCCAAGTCAGTGAGAGACAGACAGGACCAAGTGAAGGAGAGAATTCTGACAACTAGACCCAGCAAACACACTGCCAACCAGAATGCTGCAGGGAAAACACAACACATCTCTTCATCGGGCTCCACTGAGCCTTCAGGCTCAAATTTGCCTCCAGACCTCGCCCTGAAGGAATGGAAACAAGTAGGTGAAACCAAAGGCAAACAGATACTGAACCCCACCCCTGCACAAACCTGGCAGGTGCTCTCTTCAGGCAGTATGTTCGAGTCTGAGGGGACTGTCTCTTAGTAAGAAACCCATCATTCTTGGGTGTATCCTGGCCAGCTATTAGTTCTTTGGATGCTTTTTCTAGACCTGGTAATAAAGGCTTGCGATTTTATACCTTACAATTTACCCAGTCTTTTCTTAGCGGCTAGAAGGTGGAAACTGCTAGGTATGAGATGTGTTTGCATGCCCTCATGTGGTTGGATCTGTTGGTACATACGTGGTTGTCAGTTTAAATAGGTCAGACTTTCCAATTTTCAGCGAAAGTGAGCACCTTCTTTTGGCTATGGTTTTGGCAGCTGAATGCCAAGGCTGTCCAAAAAACCCCAGCTCCTGAGACCTACAGGCTGCTTACTCAAGAGTGGGAATTTTTTGTCCTCTGGCTCTTCATTTCCTCTTAAATCTTAGAGGCAACACGGAGCTCTTGTCAGGCTGTAATTTAATAAATTGTGGCAATTTGAAAAGCTTAATTTGCACCGCAATTTAGAAGCTCAAAATTAAGTTGTGTATATTTTTTTGAGCTTCTCTTCAGACAGCTGCTTTAAGGGCACACACTTTTGTTTTGCTTCTCAAGAAGTAAATCCGTCTCTGAAAATGAGATTTCCCAAGATAACATCTGACCTACAAACTAATGTAATAGGCACAAGCAGCCCCTCAAATCTGACACTCCCCCAGCTGACCAAGCCTCCACTGAGCCACACTCACACACAGGAAGTGGAATATGTTAGTGTAAACCTTGTCCAGGGGGGTTTAAACACACACATTTTGCCTAATGTTTGCTACTGACTAGAATTATTAGGTGACTTTAAACCTTGGTAATTCATCCTCATGTCTGTAAAATCTTATTTTGAAACGTGACCTAACCCAAGACAATAAAGCCAAAGGCAACTCTTGTCATGTTTAGAGCAGGTATTCCCAGGCTTTGGTTAGATAAAACCACCAACCCCTGTGGTTGTCAGGTCTGCACTGGAAAACAGAAAATACCTCTCACACCTCTATGCAAAGGTGGCTCTTTGAAACAGCCCAGGTACCATTCCTGATGCACCTACCCAAGTATGGAAACTTCCGCTGTAAAAGGAGGTACATTTCTGAAGTAATATTTAATCTGAAAAAGTTCATCCAAAATCTAGATAATGTATCTTAAGAAAAGTAGATCAGAAGTTTCAGCCCCAAAGAATGCCCTGCTGAAAGGAAGGAAGGAAGAAAACACGAGACCTGTGTTGTTAGCTCAGGTGTGGTTTCTCCCTGTACTGCTTTTGCCATGGCCAGTACTCTAGACAGCTGTAGCCTGTCAGTTCTCACCTACCACCCGTCCTCACTTGCTTGAGTTTGCTATTTACAGATCCTTGACATTCTCTGGAGTGACCCAAGAAGTCAGAATGGCTGTACACCAAACAAATGTCGAGGGGGAGGTTGTTACTTTGGCCCCGATGTCACTGCCAAGCTGTTTGAAAGGTACAATCTGAAGATGCTCATTAGGTCTCATGAATTTAAACCGGAAGGTTATGAGATCAGTCACAATGGGAAGGTAAGATGCTTTCATGTAAAGTAGAATTCTCCTGTGAATCTCACAGACACACCCACAGTAGATTTGTCTGCAAAGTTAATTAAAAAAATGAGTGACTTGTTTGTTTTTGGGGGACCTGTGTGCTAGATAGAGGTTAGAATAAATTATGGAGTTCTGACAAAATTATTTACAGCTTCAGGGAGTGGGGACTGGCTCATTAGCCATGTGAAAACAAATCAACATCAACAAAATCCCTGAGAAGAGTTATGTGTAAATACAGTGCAAGAGATGCTCTAAGGCTCTAGAAGCCTTTTAACTTAATAATTTATCTTCTGACCCTGCTTTCTGACATGCTGTATCAGACGGCCAGCAAGAATCCTGAAAAACAGGTCCATCTTAAAAAGAAGTCTCTGTTTAACAGCATGTTCTGTCACACTGCCCCCTGAACTGAAGTCTTGCTATGACAGGCCAAAAGTACAGAGCTCTGGAGCTCTGACTTGAAAAGTGCAAGCAATTTGGTGAATGACATAATTGTTGATCTCTGGTTTTATAAGCAGACACTTAATTTTGTAATCTGAATGTTTTTCTGAGATCAGTTTCAGAAATCAGTCTCAAGAAGAGCTGTTCTAGCCAACGCTGTTCCCTTGTTTCCTATGACCAGGTTATCACTATATTTTCTGCCTCTAACTACTATGAAGAGGGGAGCAACCGGGGAGCGTACATCAAACTGAATCCCGAACTGGTCCCTCGGTTTGTACAGTATCGAGTCAGCAAGCACACGTGCAGGCAGAACCTTCGGGAGAGGTAAAGCTGTGTGTCTTATGCTGTGAGCATGCACTCACTTAGCATCTGAGTACCTGCTACAGAGCTATTGTTTGAATAATTGAATGGGCACCTATTTTCCTTGGTTTGCCTTGTTTAAAATTTAAAGATTAATACAGCAGACAAAACATGTCCTTAGTACTCTAAGTTGGTTTCCTGAGAAACTCTCAGAGGTAATTAGACGTGGTAAGTGGTTAGAACAGACAATTGTCAGGGACTGGTGAAGGGCCTGTGCCTGTCTGTCAGGTCTGCTTTAAGGCTGCAGCGTTAATCTGGACAAATCCTGTTACAAATTGAGTCTAAAAAGTTTATCATGAGAGCTTTGCCATGCCTAGCACTGTGGTCAGATTTACTACAGCAAAGCAGCTTAGAATTACCTGCATAAACTCGATTATCTCATAAATTCAGATTATTCTTATGGGGCTTTGTTTGTTTTGTTGGTTTAGGTTTTTTTTCCCCCAGTGTTGTCTTCTGATGACCCTAAACATACTACGTGTTAAAGGACATAAGAATTTGATAATGAATGTTGAAAAGCATAAAATGCTAGAGGATTTAAATCCTTCAATGATCAGCTCTGCATTTTTTTCCTCCTAGGGTGGGTACAATTGAATCATCTGCCTTGAAGTCCTTACGAGAGAAGATTTATGCTCACAGGTCTGAACTCACTAGTGCTTTTGCACAGTATGACCCCAATGGCACAGGTAACAACACAACCTCTCTGTCCAGTTGCCACTGGGGAGAACAGCTGCCTTGTGTGTGGGGGGCAGAGGGGACAAACCCCGTGGCGAGGGGTCCTGCCTGCCAGTGTAAGGCTGGAGGGCAGCAGAGCCTGGTTGATCTTATGTTCTTCCTGACCACAGAGGAGGACAGGTGTTAGCAAGCACTTAGCCCCAGAAAAGTACTTGAGGGCATGATGCTTTAAGTAGGTAGAAGAAAACAACTGAAACACATTGGCAAATAAGGAAATGGTGTTTGTTGTTGGGCAGAGTTTGGGCAGGCAAATTCTTTGGCCACTGAACAAAAACTGTTTAACATATTTCTGTCTTGCTGGGTTTTCAGCAACACAGGTCTCTATAGTGGCAGCTCAGCTCAAATCTGAAGTAATTGTCGTGGCATAATCTGTTTTTCTCAGAAGGTATGAAAACATGCTGAAGATCATAATAGCATCACAGAGTTGCTGATAATAGCATCACGGAGTTGCTTTGAAAACATGCTGAAGATCATAATAGCATCACGGAGTTGCTCAGGTTAGACGGGACCTGTGGAAATGTCTGGTCCAACCCCGCTGCTCATTGATATGAGGGTTTTTATCCCAGGGTTAGGAGAAAACATTTATGTTGTGCAAGTGTTCTTAAAAACAGCAGAAGGCATGCTGGTGACTGACGTCTGCTGTGTCCTGTACCGCTTGTAACCATGAACTGACCCCTTCCGGCAGGCAGGATTTCTGTGAATGACTGGGCTGCAGCGATGGAGTCTGTCCTACAGCTGGAACTGCCCTGGAGGATGCTGCGGCCTCAGTTAGCGCAGATGAACCCAGATGGAGAAGTTGACTTCATGTCATGTTTTTATGATTTGAAAATAGGCCAACCTATAAAAGAGGTAAGGAGGAAAATGCCTCCTTGCACATCTTGGAGGAACAGCTTTTGGTGCAACTTGAGGCAAAGACAGTGGTTTTGCCAATCAGGTAGACATCTACAGCTGAACTAGTTGCCAAGCTTCCTTTTATAGTCTCTGGAGGGAAATGAGCACTGCTAGGGTACAAATCATCACTCCCTGCTAAGGTAGGTGCTTAAAATAGGTTGGATGAATCACATGCTAGAGCTGCTTTTTCTTTCCGTTGGCTCTCAAGGGCGTTTAGATAACGTAGCTGAGGAGATGCGACAAATCCTACCCAGAGCACCCAACCCTCACTCTGAGAGGGAGTTTTTCAAATGTGCTCCGGAGCCAATTCAGGCACCCGTAGGAGGGAGTCACATTTGTAGATGGACACTCAGGTGTTGAACAGCAGCTGAGGTCTCCTCTGCAGAGTCCAGTTGTTACTGAGTGGCTGCATGGTGGCTCGGGACTTAGCTGTCGCCATTATTCTCCTAAACAGCAGGATCCATTCACCTATGTACAGTGAAAGCTCTGTCTGAGTGCATGGTGTACAGCACCCTCCCTCGATCATCCGTATTTCCACAAATAATTACTGAAGGTAGGAGGTGTGAAGGGCTCCTTCCCTCCATGCCCCACCATCTGAAAGTGACAGGTTTTAGCTGATTATTCCTCAGGGCAAGACACAAAGTATCATTCCAGGGAACTTGAGCATAAGGAATTTTTTTTAAAAAAACATTTGAGAAGTTAAACTGTGAGCATAGGTTTGGAGAGTACATATTCTGCTGGTGAGACTAACTCCAACCAGGGTCTGAATGGTTTCCTCTATGGGATTTCAAAACCAGGTTCAGCCAGCTTTGGTGGAAACGCTGTGCAGATACAGAAAGGACCTGGAGATCATCTTTAACATCATTGACAAAGATCACTCAGGTAAGTTGAGGTAACGTCACTGTGCCAGCTCTAGGAAGCCTATCTTTCCCCACTGTGTTTCCTCCTTAAGGCTTCTAAATATAGAGGAACCCAAGGTGATGTCATTTTTCCATTTTAGTGAAGACTAATGTAAGCAGTCAGGCTGTGACCATATAAGGGACAGTGCACACAGCCTAACTGGAGAAAACATTCTCACATAGCCCATCTCCAGTACTGACTTCACTCTTCTGGGTCTTTTTTCTCCCTTCCACTCTCTCTTGGCATTCACCGCTTTCCCAATTCTGCGGCTGAAAGCATTCAGCTGTTACCCGGAGTAAAACTGTAGTTTAGTCATGAAACCAGAGAACACACCCACGCCACGGCAGGCAGGTAACTTTCTGGCAGTGAAGGAGTGTGCGTGCACGCGGGTGGGGGCAACAGCAGTGGAAAAAGCAACCTGCTCTCTGTCTCCTGTAGGTCTGATTTCTCTTGAGGAGTTTGTCCAGACATGGAAACTCTTCACTTCTCACCTGGGCATCGATGTATATGATGAAGCCCTTGACAAGTTAGTCCTCAGCATAGACCACAACAAAGATGGCTACATTGACTTCAGTGAGTTTTTAGAGGCCTTTCACGTGGTTCATCGACTAGAGAAAAAGGCAAACTCGTGAAAAGGCAGAAGTTCTGGTGGGCTGTCCCGCAAGCTCACTTCCCTGTCACTAGTCGCAAGCAGTCTGGGAAGCCAGCTCCCAGAGTGACACACGATGAATGCGCTGCTCAGTGCGGTGAGCACCGCGCTCACTGCGTAAGCCTTTCTTTGGTTCCCTCTGGCCGATACACACCCGCTCGGCATGAGACAGAAGGGGCAAAACCCCGCTCCTTGCAGTATTACCGTGTCACTGCCACATCAGTACCTTTGTGCTCCCCCTCGGTGGCATCTCCCCTGTCAATCGAACCTGTGAACACTGCCAAGGTCGCACCCACAAGCCCAGGGGAAGACCAGCTTTGGTGTGTTTGTTTCAGCAGCCCTTGGCGACAGCTGAGAAACAGACTGGTGACCGCAAGGGACATATCAGGCTCTCCCTGAGGACCTAACAGGCACGACAGAGGCCGGCTGTGGACTGCCTGGTCCAGGAGAGGAGAACGGGGAAGAACAACTGTCTAGTGCAAAGAGGTAGTGCCGCATTTAATCTTGCTTCTTGCATGACGCAGTGAAATTGAACCACACCAGGTCACGCTCTATCCTCCCTGAAGTTTACAGACGCAAGTTCAAGGATCTCACTTGAAAAGCGTTTACACTCGCACTAGATTTCCTCTTGCTGGAACTGGTTACTGTTGCCTACACGTGTTGAGGTTTGGCGCTAAGAAACAGTTGTAAGTTGATGCCTTAGCGAAGGCTAAATCCAGAGCAAGTTCGTGTGACATAGCAGAGATGGCACAATAAAGCTTTGGCTTTCACCGTAACACGTAAGCGTGGTGTTTTGGCCTGTGTTTGGTATCCTGCACCTATCCGAGTACCACACACTTTTCCCGGAGATTAACTGGCCTTCAGAACAAAGAGATGAGCAAGAACACAAAAGTAAGAACTGTTGATACTAGTGACCCTAATATGCTTGTGTATAGTTAAGCCTCAATTCTTTACCGAGTAAACAGAGAAATTCCGAGTTGTTGGAAAAGCAAGATGGGAGAGCCCAGTGCCCCCAGCCTCCCCCCAGACCCCAGACTGCCAGCCAGTATTCCCACTCCCTCTGGCCCCCGTTCTCTGGCACAGCGCTCTCTGAAAGCAGCGCCCCGACACACGCTGCAGCCGGGTCAGGGGCCTTCTGAAAACAGCACCGCCTAACTCAGCCTTAGCAAGCACCATGTGCACAAAGCGCTTTCTGGGTGGGAAGGTCCCAGCCTAGGCCAGCTCTACATTTTAATAGCGAGAGGTAAGGTAAGGAAAGCAGCTAGCTTTTAGTTAACAGCTGTTGGAAGTACCTTCCCAGGTGCTCACCACAGAATGTAACTGCAGCCCAAGCTTACGGTACTGTGGGCTTTCTTACATCTTACTCTCTACAATTAAATACAAAATACTTTTCCAGAAGTATTTGGTAACGTGCCAGACCTATGAATAAATATGCAGACACTTATATCCAGTGCCCAGGGGAGAGGGGAAGAAAAATCCTTAATAGTGCAAACAATTTACAGTAAAATTTTAATGGTGGTGTTAATACTGAACGTCTCTGTTTAGCAAGCATGTATGCTGATCTGTGGACTGGGAGGATCGGTCCCACCTTATTCCAGTCGAGTGACAAAAAGGCTCCACCTCAGATGGACAAACACCACGGTGTGTGGTGGGATCTTACTTCCCAACATGGGTTTCCTTGCTGCGGCTGGAACAGGACAGTGCAGCTCTGGACTCCTCCTTTGCTGCCACCACCCCGCTCCAGAAGAGAGGAGAGAACTAGGGTGTGCAACCAGAGGTGGGAGCTCAGAAACATGGCTGACAGCCTCCAGCCCGGATGTCTGCTCTGATGTGCTCCTGAAGCCACCCTGGCATGAACTGGAAGGGTACGTGCCTTGAGGGCTTGCTTCCTGAGAGGGGGTGTAAAGGTAAGGACGCCAGGCAGCGCTTCACCCCGCAGGCGGTGAGAAGAGGCTTTTGGGGAAGCAGCACTGAAGTGTGAGAGGAGCTGAGTCATCCAGCCAAAAAAGCAAGCGGCCTGCCCTCTCAGCTGCCGCGGCACACAGGAGCCCCCACCCCTGACAGAAGAAGGGGAGGTGGCAGGGGGAGTAACTGTGAAACGTCTCATGCCAGGAATAAAAGCCACTCCAGACTAAAAGTGGGAGTGCGAGAGAGCCCGGCTACTTGTACTTAAACCCAAACTGTCCCAGCTGAAGCGCTCCTTCCATTACCCCCACCCCAAGCTGCTTTTTAATCCCACATTTTTATGTTGTGGCTACTTAATGTTCCAGCTGTGAGCGGTCCTTTGGGCAGGGACTGAAGCAATCTGCAGTTGAGTGCCCAGCTCTTGCCCCACGGGTACAGATGCCACCACTAGTGACATCTCACTTTCTCCCGTCCAGGCCACACCAGAAAGTGCCTGTGTTGGGCCTGGACTGACCCAGGCTCCCACTTTGCTCCAGCCCCAGCTGCTGTCAGAGGGGTGACACGGTCCCGCAGTGCCCCATGCCTGCGGCACTGCATCTGATAACTGATCATAACGATCATACATACACCACAAGCTACGTCATACTATGAATTTCTATGTGATCTCATTTAGGTTCCTGCTCCGGCAGGGGGATTGGACTAATGATCTTTCAAGGTCCCTTCCAATCCCCGACATTCTGTGATTTCAAATTAAAGATACCAATGACACTCCCATTAAAAAGAAAGAGTTAAGGGGTGTCCAGGTACATTTTGCCACAGACTCCACTGTTTCAGACTACAATGCAGCTGCATGTAGAACCAGCTGCATCACCCTGCTTGTTTCTGAAAACAGATCACACTGTAGGTTAAATAAAATTAAAAAAAAAAGGACTCTGAGGGGAAAAATCATCTTGCATCTCTCACAATCCAGGGTTCAACAAGAAAAGCAAAAATAACTGCCGCTACTGCCTTTTCATGTGATACCAGACAGAACAAGATGCCACCACACAGGCTCTTGTCACACGCTCTGCACAGTCACATCTGTCTCCTTAAACTGGACAAAGGATTTTACTTCCATTTACTGGGACTCAAGCTAAGTGATCTCTCACAATACAAATGAAAAAACCCCAAACCCATAAAGAAGGCAAAACCCTACACAACAGGCCCACATGCCAGTAAAATGACTTCCACATCCAAGCGCTCGGTACTTGAGCGGTGCCTTTACACCAGCCCCTCACCAGGCTCACAGGCTTTGTGGCAGCTAACACAGCACGTGCCTCTCCCAGGGCCCATCCAAGGGCTCCCGGGCCCCTGAGCTGACAAACTCTCTTGGTCTCTGCAAAAACCTGACATCACCTCCTAGGGCCTCGCACACCTCTGCTCTCCCCAGCCAGCGCCCAGACGTTGTTACAGCAGCAGCGACTCCACAGAGGGACAGCAGATGGAGCGGCACTGCCACTGGGAGTTTAGGAGCAAGCCAGACAGGGGTTTATGTCCCTACTTTCATCAAGTTGTTTCAGGTATCTGTATAAAACTGGAACCAAAAACCTTGTTCTCAAAAGCACCAGGTACTATTGTTTAAAAACCCCTAAGTTTTCAAAACCTGTAAAAATGGCATGGTTATGTTTTGAAGGAGTGGGGGGGGTGGTGGTGTCTCACAGAAATATGCTTATCATCAGGCTTATTAGCACAGAAAATACTTACTTTTTACAGGCCATAGCTGCTCTTTTCCCCTCTACTTGGCAAGGCAGAACCATTCGGATCCCCTCTGCTCACACCGCGGCAGTGCCAGCGCTCTCCAGTGCTCCTGAGGGAGCCCGTGGCTGCAGAAGGCTGCAGGCTGAAGCTACAGCCACTTTCCTAAGCTGTCAGCACATTCAGCAGATGCACGTTGGCTGGTGGCAAGACCAGCAACGCCGGCACAAGGAAAACTAGTTGGTGCCTGGGGTAAAGCAGGGGTTTCCCTTCCAAAGGCAGCCTACCTCCGCTTGCAGTTTAAATGCTCACCGAGCCATTTCCCTGCAGGACACACCTACTCTTTGCAGCAGCTCGGAGCAGCCACAGAAACCAGTGGTTTCCAGTGGACAGATCCAAGGCACAGGCACTAACCTGGGAGCTGTCTGAGGGAGACTTCCAGGCAGCCCATCCCTAACTACATGAGACAAGTGCAACTTTAAATTAAAAAAAAGAAAAAAAAAAAAAAAAAATAGGGGGGGGGGGGGGGGGTGGTGGAAGAGAGAAACATCAAAGCCTTCCATAAACTCATGCTGCGCCAGAAGGGTGACAATTACGCCATTCTTAACTCTGAGGCTATTTGCAAGGGAAAGGATCGGGAGACTTGGAAAGGGTGCTCAAGTGGAAAGAAGTTTATCTTGCTTCCTTCAGAGGAAATGATTACAGGCATAAAACTGTCCATCACATTGGAGAAGCTGGAGCCTTGAGATTTTGCCTCCAAAGCCTCAGGGATGCAGGGAAGGAAGCTATTCTGTTCAGATTAAAGAGAGATGCAGCTTCCTGAGAGAGGCTATCATCTCAAATTAGCGGCTAGCATAAGACATTAGTCTCTACTGGCACTAGCCCTGCACTGACTAAGTGCAAATGAGATGAGAATGAGGATAAATGTGTGTTAGAAATATCACCTGGTTATTTCAAGCTATTCCTGTTCCTCTAATTTACATTTCCCTGGACGTTTCACACTGTGCATTAGTGATTCACAATGATGCACATTTACACACAGCAGAAGAAAAATTAATGAATTCCATCACTTCCCTTATTTGGGAGACTTTATGCCCGAGATACAGCTCCCTTGTTTTATTATGCCTTTTGATCTCCACAGAGTAATAATCTGTGTTCCCCTTGGCAGAACTGTGGTAATTCTTGCTTATTTAATATGAATTACACGCATGCACTTTGGGCAGAATAAGCCTCATTATTTGTTATTTCTCACACAGTCCCTTGAAACCAGGCCAAACGCCACCCACCTGTCCCCTGCAGCACATAACACGACGACTGGTGTAAAACGGTGCGGTAGCGCACGGCGCACAGACACGCAGCGACTGAACGAGGGGCTCGTGACAGGGAAATGGGGAGAAAGGGCCTCTGAGCCCCTTCCCTCCCGCACGAACCGTCGCTTACTGCATGGCACAGCCTGTGCTCGGCAGGAAATCATGTAAATAAATAATGATGGCTTTTGTTAGGTACGTCATGGTGCCATAGGCCCCACTTGGAGCACTGTCATAAAAAAAGTGGCAAATTCCTGTGGCTACGTCTTTCTCCAAGATACTGCCAGTAGCTCCGAATGATTTCTGAAAAGACACAAGCAAAGCAGCAAGGGAAGTCAGGCGTGCGTGCTTATTTACTGGAAAAATCCCACCACATTATGACTTTGCATTTGTGCCAAATAACGAAAGCAATTCTCCTTTCCCTCATGAAAACCTTAATCAGGATTACTGTAGGACCCACATGACTTAGTTGGATCAGTAAATGAGGAACACAGAACTTCACGGATTCTTGTCCTTTGAGGGGGGCAGGTGGGATTACTCAAATATTGGTGATTCTAATGCCTTGGTAAAGCAAAATTTCACTTCCATCTACCCACTTATCTCAGAGCTTGTTAGCCACTACAATTTTATTCCCTTTAAATCTCCCACAATTCTTAGATTAGTTTTCCAAATATATTTCCAGGAGATACTTAAGTGATTTGGTCTGTCTTTGTAGGGGAAAGAATAAGATCAAGCTCATCACACATATTAAAAAAGGAGCAGGGAACAATTTTCAAAGATTGAGGCTTCCCACCGCTGCCCTCTGAACTCACCAGCTCCTGCAGAAATAGGTCATTGGCCATGTGCACGATGCGATCCACGTGGATGATGCCCCCAATGCTGTTCACCTCGATGTCAGAGAGGAAGGTGAGAACAAGAATAGCTTCCACCAAGAGCTGCCTGTACTCAGGCTGGGGTACGTGGTTCAGCACCGACTCCACGTGCACAGCAAACTTGATTTCACACGGGGTCATCTGGCAAGTTTGAGGGGAAATGGAAAGAAAAACTGACCGATCCAAAAGACGAGTTCCCCACATCCTGCAAGCAACTGAACATACGCTCCTCTCTGCACAGGGGGGTAAATCTGACTGAGGAGAACAATCGTTTGCACGGCTTTAGCTCTTACAGAAACTTTTTGTGTCGCTAGACCCTGATCCTGCAAACAGTTATGCAACTTCCAGAAGACTGCTCCAGCCCTGCAACCCACCACACACACATTTTAGCTACACACAGGACTGCTGATGCTTAGCTGGCAAATTAACTCTTTGCTCCTCACGCTGCGGTCTCACGCACTCTGCCTTGTATCTTTCTGCCATCACAGGTGAGTTGCAAAGCCCAAATTACTGTTGAGTTTTAAAAACAACCACCTGCTTACAGTGAATGCTTTTCCACACAGAGATATAGCTATACCGTGTGTAGAGCAGCCTAATTTGCTCTGGTGTAGCTGTATGGGTGTTCTGTGAAAGGCTGCTGCCTCAGGAGGTTTGTACTTACTTCACTTAACTCCTTTAAACAGCAGAATTAGATACTGTTGAGGTCTGACAGGATAAAAATATAAACTTATTTATCTACACAATAGGAGTAAATAAAGCTCTCTATTCTGGGGCGGGGCGGGGGGGGGGGGGAAGAAAAAAAAAAAGAGAAAAAAAGAAAAAAAAGGAAAAAAAAAGAGAAAGGTTTAAATTTGGCAGATGATTCCAGCTCCTCTCTTCAGCTGTTACCACCATCCCTCAGAAGAAAAAGGAAGCCAGAGACAAATCTGAGGGAACTAGACAGGACAACAGTCTCAGGCACACAGACATCTCTCGTGCCTACTGTTCACAAGAGTTTGTTTTATAGATGTGAATTCCAAACTTGCCAGAGTGCCTAAAGGGAGAGTGGCAATCTCACTAAGGAAAAAAATGTAAGGAAAGGTTATGGATTTAAAGAGTCAAAGCTTTGGTTAGAAACAAACATCTTTAATTGGCATTTACTTTTGAGACTGTGATACCAAAATACACTGGCTGCTGTTGCAAGTGGCAAGCAATGTGTGTGCTTCATTCCAACAAAGCCGGGCTCTACCCTCGCGCTGGCCGCAGGACTGCCACCACCCACCCTCTCCCAAGCACTGCTCCGTGGGTGCCTGGGGTCAGTGAAGGGCTGCAGAGGGCAGGCTGGGCAAAAGGGAAAACCTGCCACCAACCCCCTCCCAGACCTGCCTGGCAGGAACTCATCTGCACAGCCTCAGGGAAGCTGGTGGAGCTGCTGGGGGAAGGTCCAGATCTTCTAACCTTCTTAAAACCAAGGATCTGCAATAGCAGCCCCACCACATCTTACACTGTCAAACCAAACTCTCAGTCATGGGGATAGAAAATCATTGGGATTTTACTGTACCTCTCTGGTGGTTGAAGAAGGAAGGACATACCCATCAATGGACAGACCATGGCACTGAAACAGTAACATTTTGACAATGAACAGAAATTACAGTTCTTGGAAGTAAATCTGAGGGTTCTCTGTTCTAACCCAATATTAAACAGCTTTCAGTTTACAAAAAAAACCAAACCAAAACAAAACACAACCAAAAACCCCCAAACAAAACCAACAAAACCTGTTAAAATATTATTTCACCTTTGCTGAAGAAGTTGGTACGTAACTTGGTAAATGTCAGAAATAGCCTGACATGACATGTAGAGAGTGTGCTGTGCTCCAGCCCAGCTGCTGAAGGGGAGCAAAATACTCACAGAGTCACTACAGCAAAAGGTGCACAAAGCAGGAAAACAAATCAATGAGAACATTCTTTGGGAAAGGGTGTAGAAATAAAGGGTAATACAAAAGCATGGCAACAGACCAGGAAAGTGAGGGTCTTTACTTTTCATTTTTGCTAAAACAACATTTAGTGAAGTGTTTCAGATCCAGGGCACCACAACTCAAGCATGTCAACACGTTGTGGTGCTTGGACATGGGCCACAAACCACGGGGGAGAGGTGGTGTTAGAAATACCAAGTGGTATACAAGGGAAGAGTGACAAAACCGAAATGGTGAGAAGGCAGAGTAAGGAATGGCACATCTGGGTACAAAAATGCACCAAGAAGAAGAGTCCAAAGAGATTTTAAGAACGAAATCTTTAAGACAAATAAGCACAACTGATTTTAATAGCCAGGAAACCACGCAAATAATCCCAGCTATTACATCAGGTCAGGACAGAAGTGATGCTCATCATTTGTAAATAGCCATGAGGTCATATATGACTCATCTTGGCTGACGTCAACACTAACAGCTTCAGCAAAAGTGGTTTTAGAAGGACAACCAAAATCAGCCTGAGCTGGTGATGCACATTTCCTCAGCTGCAGAGGCATGAACAGCTCAGTGCTGCAAGGTGCTGAATGCTGGCTTTGGTCCAGCGGAGCAGAACAACAGGTGCATAATCACTTTGAAATGAGTAAAAATTCCTAATTCCCCTCTCCTCCTCCCTGGAAAGCTGCTTCAACACATTTCCATACCCCTGATCTCCAAGGTGCTGGCAAGGACTTATCAAGGATTTAAAAATAAACAACAACAACAACAACAACAAGTTAATGCCATACAGCTCCGAAGAGCCAGCAGGAGATCTCCAGACATTCTGGAAGAGTCAGGGCAGTTTCCTACTCCATTCCTTGCAGCTCTTCTGAACCGGAGCGCAGGAACCGCGCGGCGTTGCAGTGCCCCTCGGCAGCACTGAGCACAACTCGCATTAGGCCCCGGGCAATGCGGAGCAGAGAGCGGTGGGACAGAACTGTTCAGCTGAAACTCAGCGCCAGCTGCTTCAGGGAAAAATACACTTTCAGGCAGACATGTGAACTCGTGCCAAGGGAGCCCTTTCACGTCCAAGAGACACGCTCCTGCTCATGACTCGTTCCCACTGGCCGTCCAGCTGAAGACCAACTTCAACTCCCAGCAACACGCTGCCTCTGGACCACCACCTCCCCCAGTTACCATACAGGTTTGCTTGCTTCCTGCCCTCCACAGCTGTCAACCTACCTTCTGAAGGATTTTCCACACTTTCTCATAAAAGCCAACAGGAACTCTGTTAATAGCACCATCAAGCCGCCTCCTGCGCAGCCACTGCCCTTTGCGGTCACCCCAGCTTGTGTCTCCATTGGAGCCAGTAGGAGAAGAACTAGTGGGAGAGGATGGAGTACTGCTCCTCTGTAAGAAACACAAAAGCCTTGGTTAGTTGCTTCCTACCAGCCTAAGTGTCACTCCTGCCAACACACCATTCTGTTATAATGCTACCTCAGAACCAGGGAAAAAATACAGGCCATTATGCCATACAGGATGACAAGATTCTCTCCCCTTCACAACAAGCTTCACTTCTCCTGTACTTTAATCATTTCGCAACAAAACAGGCAGCAGTTCAACAAGACATAACCCAGTAAACTCCACTGCTCGGTTCAACACAAGGTCTGACTATTTGAGCAAGCATGAGCTGGCTGCCAGGGCAGTGTCACTGGTGTGCAAGATGGTGGCATGTGCAGGTAGGTCTGACTCACTCGGACATCAGGCTCAGTGTGTTAAGAGAACCAAAGGGTCCACTAGTCCAGCAGAACTACAGAATTGCCTATATTGGAAAGGACCTTTAAGATCATGAAGTCCAATCATTAACCTCACACTGACAGGTCCTTGACTAAACCATGTCCCTCAGCACTATGTCTACATGACTCTTAAATACCTCCAGGGATGGGGACTCCACCACTGCCCTGGGCAACCCCTTCCAATGCCCATTCCAGCAAGAGAGCTCCTCCATGCAAAAAAACTCCATTAAAGTAAGTAGATTAAAAATGGCCTTAAGGTGGTCATGTAATCATCATGCCCACCTCTATGTACGTATCAGCTTGGTTTTTGTCACTACTGCTCTATTATTTTACTCTACCAGACTTGAAGACTAAATTAGGCAGCAAATCATCCTCAAAGTTGTGGCGCTACCACCAAAATTCTTGTTCCCATTTCCACACGTGCAGCCTGCCTACTCTTTGCACACCCTGAGACTGTGCTCTTCTGTTTCCTCATTCTTTTTTGCACACCTATCACTCTCAGCCCAGAAAGGGCTTAATTGTCAGCCCCACCTCAAATCAAATCATCTCTGAATTAAGAAATTGCCTGAGCAACGTACTGGAGAAGGAGGAAAATAAGATGTAAACCTGTATGTTTGCAAAGGGTAGGCTCACTGATCCTACACAGACAAGCTCTGCAAAATGACCAGCAAACGACAGGAGTCCATTGCCACTATTACTGGTGACAGTGAGGCATAGGTGGTGTTCCCTTGATGTTCTGATGCTTGCTATTCCTTTCCACTGCACACTGCGACAGACAGAACTTATTCCACACTGCTGAGCAGGGGGTGCAGGAGGTCAACAGGAGGGTGGGTGCCAAAGCAGAGAAGCCCATGTGCGTACAGTAACTAATCTGGCTGCTCAGGTGGTTCACAGAAGCAAAGATCTCACTGGACAATTCTGTGCACTTGAATCAAAGGCACAGTTGAATCCTGCCTTTCTGCAGCAGTATGTGGGGAGAGAGAGGCAACAGCAACCTGGCAGTTGTCAGGCCAGGCCAGAGGGCTGGCAGTGCTCTGCAGCTGTGTATTTAGGACATGTGGGAGGTGCAGCATTGACAGCAAGTCTGTAGACGCAGAGAACCATAAATCACAACTGCCAGTTTGAAGTGCATGCGTAGCTGCAAGCTTTCTGTCTCTTCATGACAGATTTGGAGCCTCAGACTTACTTTAAATTGTCAAGGCTTCTGTTGGTAAAACATTTAAACAAGAAGAGCTACAGTTCTCTGCCTTGAAACAATATGACTGCCTGAGGAGATACCCACGCCCACAAACTCCCTGTCTCAACAACCTGAAGCTGTTCTGGGTTCATTAATGTCCACAGACTGACAGCATTTATCAACACTACATTATTTGTAAATACTGCAGACACCTGTAATGTAATCCAACATCAAGCAGCTAAATCTGCTATAGTGCTTTATCTGCTACAACTGCTTAAGCTTCAGAAGAACCAAATGGATTGAAATGTAAGACTCTACTTCTATTAAAAGATTACTAATGAGAATTGGTTCCCAATGAAGATGAACAAAACACAGAGGTAGGGATTGAAAACAAGTTTTTACGCAGGAGAAGCCACGGGAGGTGTCTAGAGCTAAGACCTCTGCACACACACACACAGGGTGAAGAGCAGGTGCAGAGCTGCAGACAGTGTTTTACCGTGGAAGTGAACATGCTGCTGGACATGGAGTGGCTTTCATGAAAGAGCTACAAAACAAAAACAGACACCAAAATGTCAGCCAGACAGTCATGACAGAACAGGATGCAAACAGAGTTAAGTAACCTGTCCGTGCAAAGACAAGAAATAAGGAATAAACTCAGGTACTCGGGGGAAAGTGGGACAGCCCTGGCCTCTTGCAGTGCTGCACTTCAGCTGACTTCAGGGCACCTGCTGCCAGCTCCCAGGGCCACCAGGAGACAGATCCCGCTGTGCCAGGGGCCTGCTTGGTTGTGGTGCAGCCACAAGCTGCCCACGTCATCCCCTGAGCTCCAAGCATGGCCAACACAAACTATCACGGTTTAGGACACACGCAAAAGTTTCCCTGTGACTCGGGGCTGCGAAAAAACCTCCAAGCTCCCCACTTCCATTCCCCATTCGCTGCAATGTCAGGCGCTTGTCCTTGCACGAGAAGGTCATCTTGCTGCAGAGAGTCTGCCAGCTGCCAACTGGGTGGGCAGCACTAAACAAACGGCTGCAAGGCAGAATTTCTGCTGAAATGTGGATGCAGCACCTCAGACTTGCAGCACTTTTCGGTAACTGTCCACCCCAAGCCATGACCCCTACTTAAGTGTTAATGGTTCAGACTCAAGAAACCAGGGCAGCAAAGGAGAGAGCTGCAGTAACTCAACACCTGAGGTGACATTAAATTAGTATCTAGTGAATTGTTCAGAGAATGAAGTG